CTCTCTCTCTCTCGCTCTCTCTCCATATTTATATACAAAGCCAGGTACATAGTATTTTCAGAACCTGATTGAGGAACCTCTGATGTTAGAGTCGCTCAAAACGTACGAAAGCTGTATAGAAACCCTATAGACTATAAACCCTGTAGGCCCTAACCCCTAAGCCCTAAACTAAAGCTCTAAAAAAACCCTAAACTACATCAAGGGTTTCCGAATCAGGTTCCCGCAGTACGTAGCAAGGTGGCACCTGGTGGCCCTCTGCAAAGCCAGGATGGCTCCAGCTTGCATCCACAATCTCTTCCCTGAGTTGTAGTTCTACGCAGGGTGGCCGACTAGGATAGCGTAGGGTTCATAATGGGCTACCTGTGCACACAAATACTCAGGCAACGGGACAAGAGCAGAAATCTATTAACAGTTGCGGCAAGGCATCATGATCCCACACTGAGGCCCTACAAAAAGCAGTGTTTCTGGTGGTCAGAGTGAAAAACGTTGTGGAAGTGATGGGCATAGTCACCTGCACCAGGTGATCGTGGGACCAAAACCCGACACCAAAAACGGGTACAGTGTATGAGCCGTAAGCCCCTGTAACTGTTTGATGCTCGCATGTGCTCGCTGATCTTCTTCGCAGTTTTGTTGCAAGGTGTTCTGAAAAGGCGCGAGCCATCTGGATAACCACAGCCTGGCTAGCAACCGTTTCTTGCCGGCGGCAGTCTTGGCTGGAGAAGCCTCACGAGACATTTATAATTATCTGAAATCTCTGCTGATTCCCTCACATATGGTGCTGAAACACTGCCCAGAGGTCGAGACGCCCCCTGGCAGCGTACGCGCGCCAGCAGTACGGCGTTGCGGACTCACAGACTGCTTCCGTTGTAGTAGTCGTCGTAGTACTTGTAGGAGCAGTCGAAACTGTAACAGGGGTTTCGTCTTGGCAAGCATGATCCACCGGGTGTCGTGTTGCAAGTATTGCAAAGATGACAGTCGCTTCTCGTGGCTGTCTACGTACATGCAAGGCTCGCGATGCCGATGGTCAACCGCCACGAGAGTCAGGCAGGCTGTGTAGCTTCGGTTGTTCCATTGATGAGCCCAGTACCTGCTAGTTCTTGTACCACGAATGTCACGGTGCCCTAATTAAGGTCCATGCTTGTGCTTGTAGTCCACCTTTCTTGGGTCGCTTGGCCCTTCAGATTCGGGGATCAGTACCTGACATGATTCTGAGGTCTGGGTAGCTAGGCCCTACCCAAACCGTCTGCACCTGAAAAGATGCTGAAGTCACCCTTCGCAAAGGAGGACGCCTCATCTTCTAGTCATCCTAGAAGCCGCAAACCCCACCCCCATGTTGGTTGGGGAACTGAAACCCTGCAATCAGTGCTTGGCGAGCATTGCAGGGATTCCAAGAGCATTTTATCCTGGGATTCGATCAAGGTATCCCGGCAAAGCGTCAAAATTACGAAAAGACCTGGCTTCGCAAGGCCCTTTAGGATGGCACGGGAGAGAGAGATAGAGACAGAGAGAGAAAGAGAGAGACAGAGAGAGAAAGAGACAGAGAGAGAAAAAAGAAAGCTTGTTCAAGGGATGCTGTCGACTCTTGTTTTTGTGATTGCTGCTGCTTTGCGTTTTGTCTTGCAAGAACTGGCCGTTGAGCAATCCCCCTTTACGGCAACAGTCGCTCAACACAAGTGCACAGAAACCCGAAACTCCAAACCCCAAACAAAGTCCTCTCAGGAAGCAGTCGTCGCAAGAGGTCTTTGATTTCACGGCTTTTTTGAGCTGCTGTGGCTGGGTTCTCAGGGTGCCTCACACCAACCGGTTTAAGAGCTTTGAGGTTGTTGGGAATTTAGGGGTTTCGGGGTTTAGAAGATTGGGTTTGGGGTTTACACTTTTGGGGTTTAAGGGTTTAGGGGTTCGTGGTGCAAATTTTGGACGAGCTTCCAACTTCAGACAATCTAACCCTGAAAGCTTTCGCGTGGGTTCTCCGATCCCAGACGAAGAGCAGCTGCAATGGGCTCAAAAGTCTATATATTCAAACAAGTTGTATGCGCTGAGGGCGCTTAGAATGTGGGGCTTAGCCTATTTTTCTGGATTGGGTCCAAGACTGAGGGTGTAAGGTTTCGTGCTACTGGTGGGAAACCCCTGAGTGCTGAAACCCTAGACCGACCAACTACCTCGCCCGGCCCAAGCCCTAAAGCCTAAACCCTGAAACCTAAACCCTAAACCCAAGGCAAAACTGGCTGTACTCACGGTCTCACCCGACCCGCACCTACGAACCTCGCCTGGCATGTCCGGAGTCCTGAGTTGTGAGAGCCTGAACCCTAAACCCCTATAACCCTAAACCCCTAAACCCTGGACGCTTTCCGCCATGCCTGCTTTGCGAGTGTGTGTGAATCGAAACCGAAACCGAGACGCAGGGTTTTTGCAGTTGAGGCCTCCGGCTTGTCCCGGTCTAGCGGGTCTCTAGCGCTATTCCCTAAAGCCCTAAGGCTCCACCTAGGTACTGGTATATATAATATGATATACGTAGGCGTGGAAAGGTTCCTATTTATAGGTACTTTGAGGCAGGTTAAGTGTATACAAGATTTAGGCACATGGAGCCTTAGGGATTGTGGAGCTGCTGAGGTCTTCAAGCCAATGCCCAAGCATCATTGAACAACCGTGGCTCACCTCGCTGCCGATGTGAGAATCAGACAGCATGGATTAATTCAACAGGATGCGTGGGCTGAGTTGCAGCCTAGGCTCCTGAGGTCCCTTCAGGGAATGACCCGACTCAAACTGACAGCCTGAACATCTCTATCATCATCCGTATACGCTCCCAAAGAGTCTCTACAAGGTCTTGGCATTTCGGGTTTATGTAGCTGGTGCAGGACTTCGAAAGTACCCCAAACTACCTCCGTGCTTCTCCAAATCTTATTCGCGCAGACGCAGGGCAAAATACTTGCCAAGCCGCGCCTTTTTCATTGGAGTCCAACAGCTGTCCAAACCCCCTCTTTAGGCTGCTCCAGAAATAAACGGGAGAAGCTTCCATTGAGTGGTTCTCCAAATTTAGGGTCCCCTTCTAGGTCCCCCAAATTAGTAAGGCAGCCTTATAAAAAGGACCCTAAAAGGGACCCTAATTTAGAGGACTACCTACATATGTTTGAGAAGGAGTTTTGCGCTCGAAGCTTTTCGCCCAAGCCCTTCAAAGACAGCTGCCCATGGCCAAAATGGACTTCAAGCCAGTTGCGTATGTTTCACGCGCGGTGCTCCCGACTTATGCTGAATTTATGCAGTTATATGTATGAAAAAGCTGTGCTCTTCCCAGCTTATGAAGAGATTGCAGCCGCGGCATTTGAGATTCCAGGTGGAACGGTGATGCCACGCTCCGAAAGCCCCTGGGCATGAATCGGATGCTTACGTTTCGATGGCTGGGCATCAGCCCGGCATATCCGAGACTCAAGCGCCGAAGGCCATCCTATCATCAAAACCTAGGCCTTAGTAAGGTGCTAAACCCTACAAACAATAAGCCCTTTAAGCCCTGCCCTACTTTGTCCCGAACTTCATGTCTCCTGTGAATGGGCTCTCAGCGCCCCGTTTGAGCTGCGCCTGCGTCCCTTAGTTTGTGGAAGAGCCGAGGACTCAGATTGTCGGATTGCGCAGGATTTCCGGAGTTTAGGGTTTTGTGTGGATCTTGATGCAAGTTGCAAAGAATAATTGGGATATGCAGAAGAATTGGTTATTGGGGTAAGTTCAGCCTCCTGTCGTCTTTCATGCTGTCTGACGTACCCTAAGGGTCACAAGTACCCATAGAAGGAATAGGGTTCCTTTATAGTAAGGAACCACTGTTATGATTTGGGGCTGTATCCCCCAAATCCGTACCTAGGACCCTTTGGGCTGGGCTGAGTATGGCAGCTGTCGCACTCCTTCAGTCAGTCATTGGTTTAGGGCTTTAGGCATGCGCTGCAGACCCTGCTCAAAAAAGGCTTTCGGGTTTGGGGATTGTTGTTAAGTTCTCAGAGGAAAGCAACAGAAGAGAGGTGTACCGTGTCTGGTTCGACATGCACGGTTTCTAGCCCGGCCTCGCTGTCCTCGACGATTCTGGAGGGTTGGTTCACTTTACAATCTCGCACATTTGCTAGACCTTTGGACGTCTGACAGTTTGCTGGCTTGCAGCCAGACGTCCGCAGCATCCAGTCATGCAGAAAATGTAAGCCCTTAGCTAGATTCTGCGACAACAGCTGTTTGGTAGAAATTGGTGCCAACAAAAGCCGCAAAACCAACCTTGACTAGCAAACGCCTGAAAATCCCGACCGGCCCCACTTACTTGAATTCTGACACCAAAGCTGACTGGAGAAAAGCCCAGGCCATGAACAAGGCCTTTCCTCATGTTGCCTTACTTCGGGGCCTGTGGCTTAGGTAAGCATTGCGCGCTAGTCTGTGAAGGTCTGAGTTGGGCCTTGGAAGTACAGACTTCGTCATTAGGGATGCACGTGAGCATGGTACATTCCAAAGCCTGGAATGCTTGTTGCAGTTTTGTAAAGCAGTAGTGGTGTGGAATCCCCTAGACCCGAAACCCGAAACCCTCAAACCCCTGAACCCCCAAACCCTCAGCCCTCCCCGACACTCCCCGTGAAGTTGTGAAAGGTGGTGTTCCGTTTTTGGGGTACCCCCATGAGCATGTCCGGATTACGGCCGGCAAAGTGGACGACGGGCAAATTGAAACCCTCAGCCCTGAACCCCAAAACAGCCGAAAGCCCGCAACTCCATACCCCAAACTTCCTGAGCCCCTACACTTGGTAAGGTCTGAGGTATTCAGAGCTAAGCGCGCCCAGTCTTGTCGTGGATCCTTGCCTGCCTTCTGCGAGCTGCGAGAGCCGAAAACCCTCAACCCCAAACCCCTCAACGCCTTAATCATTTCAAACCCAAAAGCCCAGATGCGCAAACCGGCACTTGCACAGGTTTTTGCTGGAGTTGCAGGCCAGCCTCTCGAGAGGGATTGTGCGCAGGGAACACGGGGGAGTTTGCTGTAGGGTTTGATGTTCTCTACGGCTTCCAGGCTTTAAAAGAGTTCAGGCTTTTTCATCACATTTATGTATATATGTCTGTGTACACACATAAGATTCATAAGATAGAGAGAGAGAGAGAGTAAACATTATAGCAATGATTCGTGTGACTTCGCAGAAACAAATCTACATGCGCATCGCGCATGATTGCGTTTGTCACTACTGACAGGTTTTTTCCTTTGCCGCTTTTCATATAGGCTAACTGAAGGTAACTACGGAATCAACCAGCTGATTCCGAACTGCTCACGACCTTCAACCGTGGTCTCTGCGAGGCTGCCAATCGGGCCGTAATCTACAGTAGCTTTCCTTGAGGGCCCGGAACGGGCATGCGAGCTTCTACTGTCGGCATAACTTTCAGGTCAATTGTGACCCCACTGGATTTGCAGTTGCCGTGTAGTGCTTCGTGCAGTGAACAAGCCTCCACCGCAGACTGCTTTCGGCCCCCGAGCTCTTGCGTGCATCGAGATGGAGTCCTGCACGAAAGTCGCCAAGGATGAGGGTGAACTTGCTTTCGGGAAAGGCGATGTCAAAGTGAGAGTCCTGTTTGAGATGCTGTGGGAGACTCGATGTTGAACCTGCTGGTGAGGAATGAGACTCAGGACAAGACGCTCAAAAAACAGTAGTCAGAGGGTAGAAGACGGTAGCAGTATGGATGGCACAGTAAAGCCGTCCTTGATGATTACAAGCCGCGAGATGAACTCAATGTTCACGTCTACTACAAAGATGATAACGGGGGTATCGACGACGGGGATGTCGAAATGATCGAAATCCCCTTCGAGAAGTTCAAGCAGGCATTGTCGCCTGAGTTGCTGGGTGCTGATAGCGAGAAGCATGATGTACTGGTTGTATGCAGTGTCAAGGTGCAGTTTTCTGCGTACGAATGGATGAGGGAAATCAGGTTGACAAGGGAGCCGAGCTTTTCGTTTCGCGTGCTGGAAAATGACTAATTAAGGAGGGTTCGGAAGGTTGAAGCACAGAAAAGACGGGTGCCTTGATGAACTTTACCCCGGCCACGGGAAACGCATCATCCAACGTTTCAATGTTTGACTACGCATAACACTGCTTCTTGAGCCAGGCCCTGACCGAAGCCTGATCGCATAAGATGGGTTTTGAAAATCACGACTTCGTCCGCAGTTTCTGAAGATTTGTCAGTCCGGATGTTCTTCAGCCAGAGAATGAGCTGCACATATACAACCAACATATTACGTAGACACAGGCAGCACTAACATAGCGGCAGACACTTCATACATGTATGCAGACATACATGCATACACACACCTACATACACGGTACACTTACAACGCTTAGTCCGACTGGTAGTGTTTAGGAATGAGGTTCGCAAATGGCAACTTGTCCGAACAACGTGCCTCTAAATTTTCTGCATGATGCGGGCGATGCGGGCGAAAAGGTTCCGGGGCCTTGCCCGAATGTTGATCTCGTATGAGCAAGACACCGGGGAAGATGTTGGGTTTCGCCGTTGGGTTCCTGGTGCTTCTTCATGAAAGATCCTGTGAGGCTTCCTTACTAATTACTATAGATAGTTAAACTGTACTACACCCGCACAGCCTAGCTACTGAGGCCTGGCTCGGAGACACGTACTCAAACTCACACTGCAGAAGAAGTTTCCGAAGGCAAGTTGCCCTGTTGCAAGCTCCTATTCCGCAGAACATCCCCAGCGACCCTTGACTTGGTGACCTTGAGTTCTGCACGTTGCACAGCGCGCTGAGAGATGATACTCTAAGCGGTGGCTCTCAGGGTGAGCAAGAGGGGTTGCTGACTCTAAGGGTTGCATGAGGCTTTGGTTACAATAAGTGCGACTTTAAGTGTCGAGTTACTATATAATAATAATGGTTAGTAAAGCTGCTATGATAAGGGCTGCTATATGAGTTACTGTAAGGTTTTTGCTACCATAGCTATCCTTGAGCGTCAAGCTCGTAGGCTCTGCGGCGGCCGCGAGGTCTTATCTCTCGGCGCATGTGCATCCTATCCGGTGATGTGAACACCCACATCTGTGGCAAGCTGGAGTCACCGCGCCCACGCGAATTACCCGACACTCAACAACCGTAAGTGTCCACATCCCACAGCTTGTCCACCAGCGCAGGCGCCGGGGCCCTGGCCGGAGCTGCTTACTACTACTCGAAGTCGACGCGCCTCACCTTCAGTGTTGCACATGTGAAGTGTCTTTCAAGGCTTAGTAACCCAGGCCTGGAGGCAAAATCCACATGTTTGAGGGTTTGAAGTGGAGCAACATGTCACAGAAGAGCTGCAAGGAGCGTTCCGCAAAACTCTGCTTTTGTGCCCCTTGACTGCAGAAGTGACAAGGCGACTCTAGGCAGAGATTGTATAGTAATCGTATGTAATAGTCAACAACAGTAGTTCTAATTTCTGTTACGAGAACGTTCGAAACCTCATCGGCTTTTCGCAAGGGCTGCAGATTACCCCGGGGCTTTCTCTGCGTCCTTACTCCCTAGTGCCAGAGCAGAAAGCTGGAAGAGGCTTGAGTCCCAGTTTTGCACAGAAAGGATTAACTGTACAGCGTCATGAAGCCTCAAGAAGACAGGCACTGCTGGAAAACGGCTCAGATGAGGTTTGTCAAGCCCCATGCCGTGACGCCATCCACCAACAGCCTGGTCCGCAATGAGCTGGCGAAGAAGGCAGCAAACCTAGGGCCTGACCCCCTTGAGCCCTGAGCCCTGAAGCCTTAAAAGTCACTTTGAACCCGATGCATTCTTGTCACTGCTGCTACTCGTGTTGACTCAGCTGTTTCAAACGGTCGTGTTACTTGTGTGGTCAACAGTAGTGATCGTCGTACTAGCAGTCGTCGTCGCGCTAGCAGCAGAAGGAGTAGGAGGCGGAGTAGCAGTAGCAGTAGTAGTAGTAGTAGTAGTAGCAGCAGCAGCAGCAGCAGTAGCAGTAGCAGCAGCAGTAGCAGCAGCAGCAGCAGCAGTAGCAGCAGCAGTAGCAGCAGCAGCCGTCGTTGTTGTTGTTGTTGGTGGTGGTGGTGGTGGCGGTGGTGGCGGTGGCGGTGGTCGAGATGTTGCGGTTGCTGTTGTCGCTGTCGCCGTCGTTCTCCATTCAGGTCCCAGCGCCATCATGACTAGTATCACTATTGTTAGTGGCGGCCAGCATTCAGACAAGAAGTCGTAGCAGATGTAGCAGTTGCCTTAAGCATCCCATCCCTCATCATCGCCGGCAGGGCTTAAAAATCACGTCAGAGGGCGACCTGACTTCTGAAGTCATCGACCAGAAGAAGCTGATTGATCAGTGCCTTTGCTGCCTTCGATTGGGTTTCCTGGATTTGGGGCTAGGGTCAGGGATCTAAGGAGCTTTGAGTCGTGGAATGACACATGAGGAGCCGTGTGCATTTTCGGTATTTCGGGGACCGGGACGCGGAGAGGAGGTCGGTGTTCAGGATTTTGGTGTCCAGATTTTTTGAGGATTGGGGTTGGGTCGGTGCTTGATAAATTCGCAGCCTCTCCCAGAGAAGCTGCAGACTCAGCATGCATCGGTAACCGCTGCAACCTGCAACATTGCAAGAACATACCGAGCTTTGTAGAAATGCACAATTCCCGGTGGCCGCCATCTCGTCCGAATTTCAATCAGACGATTAGATACCCCCAAGCCCTGTTCTAATAAGGAAGGCCCCTTACGCTAGCTGTTCGCCCGTACATGCCAGGCCAGTGCTTCGGCTGCTCATATTCCGCCGACCGGTTTAGGTTATAGGGTTAAATGGTTTAAGGTTTCGAGTTCAGGGTTGAGGGTTTAGGTCGCAGTCTGGCTAGACTTGAGTCCAGTAGTAAAAAGGGCTTAAGTTAGGGTTTCGGAATGTTGAGGATGGATTGGACATTTTCTGGGAAGCCGGGAAGCCAGGTTGTAGTGGCCAAGACCCGTCTCACCCCGAGATGAGCAAGAGTCATGAACTACCAATCAAACCTAAACAGCTACATAACGGGGGCATGAACCAGGTTTCCCTAATACATTTGTATGGTTTGTACTGACGGCCCCGGTATTTTAGGGATTTAGGATTGCAGCCCCACTGTGTCATTACGAGGCACTACTATGCTATCGCTTCAAAGGCTCGTTCGCCGCTGTGGCTACAGGGCTCAGCTTTACGATGTGGTCTAGGGTCTAGGGCTTCTGGAATTTGGGTCTTCGCAGCCTAGGGAAAGACTACAGAGAGGCCTGCGGTGGAGATCATTTTCTCGAGAACTGCATGTGTATCTGGACTGAGGGTTGGCCCTTCGTGTTACGAGGCATCCAACTTTGGGCCATCCACATGTTCGCCACTCTGCACCCGTCCTGCGAGCCATATTCAAGATCCGCGCCAATGATGCCAGATCTGGCCCTTCAGCGATCCTGTGTTTTGTGTGAACCCTAGAAGCCCAGGTACCTATGTATTCGGTAGCTAAATTTCTACTCCAGGGTTTCGCTAGAATCATAGCCAGAAACTGCATGCATGCCTTTGCAGTGGTTGTGGAGCAAATTGGCCGGCGTCCAACAGGCGACGATCCTGAAGCCATCCGAGCTCAATGTGCCAAAGGACAAGTTCCAGAGCCAGTGCCGTGGCCAATTACTTCAGACAAGGCAACAGGTACTAAGTAAGTACTACTAGTACTGATATTGTTAGTACGATGACTATTTTTCGTATTACCATTCTTGTCATGGTTCGCATTGTTTTCCACCATTCCCATTATTATTACTATTATGAGTAATTTAGATTTTAGTTTTATTACTATGAACAGTCTTACCATGATGATTAGCATTGTTATCATTATATTTGGTTATCATAACTATTGATATAGATTAACATGACGAGCCCAAGCTCGCTTCAACCTGGCATGTGAAATCCTGAAGCCCTGAAGGCCTGATCCTGTAAAACCCTTAACCCCTTCAACTCAGTGCCCTTTCAGGCTTTAAGGTGCCATGGATTGGATGCCAGTCCTCTTGCCACAAAGTCCCATGAGCCTGTACTTCGAATTCCGAGGCCTGGCAACCTCGGGTATGGTAGTGATCCTGACAGGAGCAGTACCATACTTGTAGCGCCATGAGATTCGCAGCACCACTCGCGGCAAGGGTCATGATATGGGATGAGACGGCCTTGGCGTTACAAAGTTAACAAGGGCATGAGTGGCGATTACTCAAATTTCGGCCACGAGCAGCCTAACAGCAAGTACAACTACACCAGACTACGACGACAACGACGATCCTGAAAATGTGAGTACCAACACAGCACATGATGCAACATCACAATGCTGGCAGTAGGGGTGGTGCCCCAGAAACATGCAGTCGCCGGACATGGCCAGCGGAAGGGCAGGTTTTCGGGTTTGAGGGTTTGGGGTAAATGATGTCAACCAGTCCAGGTATACCCCTGGGCCCTTTTGCAGACCCCTTACTCTTGAGGGGTCTTTGGCCCACGGGGTCTTTGGCCCACGGTGGTTTTGGCTAGATACACCCCGAAACCACTTCTCGGGTCCTGCAGCCGCGTTGTATGAATACGTATGAATGCCATGTCTTATCTGCATACCATGACCAACACTACGATCAGTATGATGGATATGAACAAACATTAGAACTGGGTTCCTTTAAAGGGGTCCTTGAAGGGCTCTATAAGGGATACTATAATCTTAAATATGAACAAACAATGCGAAGACAAACGCATCAGGTTTGGCATCTCCTGGGACGATGCCATGGCCCAGGGCCTTGTCTTCAATGCCATGGATGCCTGCAAGGAGTGCTGACTCAGGTTACATAATCAGTATTGTGTGTGTGTATTGTACATACATATCTATATATGTATGTTTATATACATATAATATAAATAAATAAATAAATATATATATATATATATACATACATGTCTGGAGCAGGCAAAACAGGTCTGCTTGGAGGACGACGGTGCATAAGTGGGCCCTTATATAATGATATAAGCGTATAACCCGCACTTCAGGCGGGGCGGGGGGTGCAGTGGGTTCATAGTTTGGAGACAAAAAGGGGAGCCTAACTAGAGAACTACCCATGTGAATGAGTGTGAGTGAGTGAGTGAGTGAGTGAGTGAGTGAGTGAGTGAGTGAGTGCGTGTGTGTGGGGGGCTTCGGCAGGGTGAGGTCTGCAAAAATTGTGAGGTCTGTACTTGTTCAGGCTTGCATTTGGACCCGTCATTTTCTGAACGCGCCCATACGATCACAGCAGCCATGTAGCGGAAGACGTTTGACGACAAGAAGCTCGTGACCACCAGGCTTGCGGATTTTGGAACTGCTTGGCAGGTTTTTTGGAAACGAAGGTCCTGCACCTCGAAGCTCCCGAATTCTTGAGGGGTCCCTCCACTCGGGGTCCTATTCTGTGGTTATCAGGTTGCCCTATTCTCTGCAACCGCCTGTGCAGACGCACGTGTCACAGGAGCTTAGCTGCAGCCCAGAGGAGCTGAATGCAGCCTGGGGGGCGAGCAAGAAGGCTCAGAGTTTAAGGCTTAGCGCTCCCGGCAAAAGGGCTGAATGAGGATTTGGTGTGATTTCAAGGCTAAGGGTGTAGGGGGTTTCAAGTCTCCGGCCAGGGCTGCGGCTGAGGATGTTAGAGGGAACCGGCCGCAGGGAGACGCAATCCCCACATGGTCGCACATAAGCCTGGAAGCCCGGGTTTTGTTGGGAGCTTCGGGTTTCTTCACAGGCTTTGCGTTTGGAATTTGCAAGCCTGAAGTTCGGTTTCAGACAACTCCCAATCCCAAAACCCCCAAACCCTGAATATTTACTTACCAGAGAGACGTCTACTGCCAGACCTTCGACCCCCTGAGCCCTAAACCCTAAATTCAAAACTCCAAAACCTCAAAACCATAAAACCCTAAAGCCCCTGCCACAAAAGCTGTGGAACCATATCAGTCTCCAGCCCTGCAACCCAAACTGGTGTGTTTCATGGGACGGGATGCCGGGTTCTCTGTTTATTATGGTTTAGGGTCTGAAGGTTTATTGAATTTAGGATTTGAGAATTTGCGGGCCCTCGCATAAATATCGTCAGATTTAAGTATTCATGCTTTCCTTAGCTATGTCTCTCAACAAGAGCAGCTCTTCGTTCCCTGGCGCAGCAAGAGAGCCTAATCGGTTTTAGTTTTTCTGCCTGAAACTTTGAACTTAAAGCCCCAACCCAAACCCTCTCCATTCCACATCCAAACGTCTAGCGGTCTAGCAGTGAGCTGCTGCTACGCAACCTGAAGCCTAAAACCACAAGCGGGCACTATAAGAAGGGCCTAAAACTACGGCTATTGTTCCTGAAAGTACCCATAGGCCCCTAAGTAGTTCCTTTTTGGGAGTACCTCATAGGATTCCAAATATAAATCACAAAAAGGAACTACTTAGGGGCCTATGGGTACAGGCTGGCAAGCTTGCGAAGTTTGGAGGCGGCTTCTATTGTGGCAAAGTCGCAGCTTTCCAGCAGAGGGTCGAGCTTTGGTGGGGGTTTTTGAGGGTTTAGTCTGGGACTTTCCGAAAATCAGGGTACCTTATTTTGGGGTCCTTATAATAAGGATCCTACTATTTAGGGTACTATATTAGGTCCCCTATTTTCGGAAACCCCCGTATAGGGGTTGAGGGTTTAGGGTCTCAGGTATGTGGTCGACATTCTGGGGAGGGGGTTTGGGACTTCAAGGCTTGGGTTTGAACATAGTTGGGTTTCGGGCTTAGGGGTTTCTAGGCTTCAGGGTTTGAGGTCGAGGCTACAGTCGGTTCATAAAGCCTTGCCTTTAAGGGGTAGGCAATGCTTGTATAAGGACGAACATGGGGTCGCACGGCCCCTGCATACAGACGGACGGACGGACCGACGGACGGACAGACACACAGGCATGCGACAAAAGAACAAACAAGCAACCAACCAAACAAACACACAAGTAAACAAACAAGCAAACAAGCACACCAACAAACAAGCACACAAACAAACAAGCAAAATAACAAACAAACAAACAAGCAAAGCGACAAACAAGCAAGCAAACAAACAAACACGACCAAACAGACAGAAACGACACCGTATGTTTACCTGCATGCACGCGGACAGTGAGATGCATGCATGCATCCATGCATGCGTACACAGAAACACATTCATGCATGCAGACATAGAGCTGCAAGCACCTTTCGCATGGCCCTGCATGTTCATGTGGTCTGCTTATGCCTGTGTTCATACGTATACTTATGCATATGCATACAAACATACATGCATACAGACATGCACACATCACAACAGACATTCAGTTGGCATCCATACATGCCATATATGCATGCATACATGGGTACGCGTGTACGTGCATGCATACATTACATACATTACATACATACGTACATACATACATACATACATACATACACACATACGTGCATGCATACATCAATGTGCAGGTACGTACGTACGTACTTACGTACATATGTACATACGTACACACGTACGTACATACATACATACATACATACGTACATACGCACATCCATACATACATAAATACATACATACGTACATACATACATACATACATACATGTACACATATGCATAGACATAAACATACATACATGCATGCATGCATGCACACACACACACACACATTTTTCCCACACGGTGTGGTGGGTAATGCTACGTGGGTATGTGGTGCCGACTTTGGGGTGTTTCGCAGCATGCAAACTTGTCCTTCAAAGGTGCCTCGAGCGGCCACATAATGAAGCATCGCCGGGCTCCTTCGTGTGGTCCCATTCCGCCTGCAATGCTAAAGGTTCGCAATTTAGTGTCGGAACCTTGCCCATCAGCAGTCTCTTTCTTCCCCCAAAGCGCCGAATCGTCAGTCCCCGGGCCACAACGCTACTGGCAAAAATCAGGAGATGTCCGGAAGAAAGCCCATCTACGTCTTCAATGGACCCTTGACAGCAAGCACAAAATAATCCTTTAAACCCGAAGCCCTTTCAGCTGTGCTCGAATGGTGTTGGTTGATGGTTGGAGAAAGACGAGAGCCGCCTTGTGCTTCTCCGTAGCTTCACTCCTGTTTGCGTTCCTCAGCTGCCTTTCTCACATAAATGAGGCGTAGGGCGTAGGAGCATTGGTTTTTGGTT